ATCTTTACATTTTAATATGTTCAAATTTTGATTTGATAAAGATAATAAATGAACTAAATAATATCTATATAATAATGTCAAGATGAAGATATTCTTTTGATCACACAAACAGGCTTCTATATAGGATTTCTAAACTACTTCTCTGTACTGTAAATGTATGTCAAGATATTTGTGAACACATGTATAGTATATATATATTAGAAATATATCAACCATTTGTGCTGCAGTTTGATGCTCACACAGATCAGCTGCATAGTAGTAAAGACATTTTGAGAGGTGAATTGTTAATTTGTTCATAGATAATCACGAAAATGCAAATTAGGAAACATGTAGTTCAAATGTTAACAAGTGGACTGCCTATCACGAGTATACTCGTATGAATTCTGGCCGAATTTGCCACTACGACTTACCTCGTAGCTGCATCAGTGGTATTTTAAAACAAGTTTCACATGTTCTCAAAATGGCACAAGAAACAAACATCTGGTGTTCTTTGTTACTGCCAGGAGCCGATTGCTTCTTGTGCTGTTGCCAACATGTGAAACTTGTTTTAAAATATCACTGATATATCGTAGTGGCAAATCGGGCCAGACATTGATACTATAGTATACTCGGTCGGCAGTCAATGTGTTAAGTTCCGTTACTGTCTAGAATAACAGCTAGTATCCTGTATTAGGATTGGGATACCTCAACAGAACCATTGAGCAAATGTACAAACAGATTAGATCATCAAATTATGTCAAAATTCCAAAGTAAACAAAAGTTTCAATATATACACATTTAACATTCTTGCTGACAATGGCATGCAGAGATCATTTGTGAGTGACAGTCACTTAAAAGGGGTGCATGTAAGGGAAAGTAATTTAAAGGGGATTCTGAGATATAAAGTCTATTGAAAATACCTGGTTCAAAAGTCATTTTATAAAACTGTGGGTCACACACATACTGGTATATGGCATAGGCTGCCAAGGGAGGCAACTCTGCCGGACAATACGTCAAGGATGGAGAGAGTCCAATATGAGTGAGAGCGAATGACCAGTATTGCTGTGGTATTACAGTGTGCCAGCATATTGTTGGAGGCAAGCCCTTTCTGGCTTACATGTTCACCACTTTGGTGAAAACCATGAACATGGTAATGGTGCTGACAAACCTATAAGAAACAATTTGGCCAAACCAGGATTTGAACCCACCATGATGGTTTGCAGCATGAGATGAAATACAGCACATGGCAGCCTAAGACGATGCCACCCATGACCCATCAGTTCACAAAGCTTGAATAATGAACCTGACTTACAAGTTGAAATAGTTTAAATTCGCTGTAAAATCTGGCCTTAGTATTAATATCATGAAGATGAAATATCTCCATACAAAAGGTACATATCATAAGGCACATTACCAAAACAAATGTAAATACATTCTGAAATATATGGTACCATTACCTAGCATACATACAACATATAACCAGAAATCTTTCCAAACCTATGTCAGAGCTACCTGTCAGCTGTCAGACTACTGTTATACTGACATGTAACCTATGTACAAATTGAATCTTGTCGAAATCCATGTCCAAATTTTGTATTAGATGCTGTTAGTTACAGTAGTAGTTTCTGGACAACAACTCTGAGAAATATGGATTGAATTAAAGAGAATTAGTTTGCAGACAGGCCACAGTTGACATGGAAACTTCAATTGCCTTCCAGATAGGTCAATATTTAGTGTGTGGCAGGATTATATGTAGCCTGAGACTAGACTCAGCACAGTAAGTTAGAAACAAACTAAAACTCTTTCTGCCAAAATGTTTTCCATTTTTGGATGCGTTGTGCATCAGTCACAACCAAAGTTTGATCCCACCAATCAAATCAATGTGACAGACTTCATTCACGGAGAGACTTCAAATCTGAATAATTCTATAATATACTGAAACAAATAAAGGAACACAGGAAAATTCAAGCGTTCCTTTAATATTTTCCAGTTTTCATCACCAGCTTTGAATAGCGCTGTTGGAGGAAATCTGAGAATAAATAAAGGAACACTGCCATGAAGTAGTGTTCCCTTATTTGTTCCCCTCAGTATACATTCATTCATTTAGACAAAATTCAAATAGTAGACAGGTAAACTAAAATGGAGTACAACATATTGATGGCATTAGTAACACATTTGATGTGGATCACGAATCTGGAGATATTCTGGTACATAAAAATGAATGACTATTTCTTGCCTTTATTATTGATACACTGTCAATGAAGATTTTTTCAACCATTTGATGTACACAGTAATTACTAAAAGAGTATAGGCTTGCATAAAACTGCAGTCTTAGCTAGGTTGAGAATAATCAATCAATTGTTTTACCTCTCTGCAAACATGAGAGCTTGCAGGTTTTATGATCTTGATCAATCTTGCAAAAAATGATTCTCATTATTACATGAGGACAATGTCACCACGTCTAATACTATTTTGGACAAACACAAAAGAGATATTATTTTTCACTTTACATGAAGAACGTACTCACATTTTCCGTGAACCCACAAGACGAAATTATGCTATCTACAAGTAATGATAATGAGAAGGCCTTGCAAGTTGCCCTCCAATGTTGGTGATGTATGATGTGGTTTATTCCAAGTACAAGCACCAATAACACACTGTAAGCACATAACAAATAACAAGGTATACATGCAGAAATTGGTAAAATATAATACTGCTCAAGTAAGACTATATACACAGAAACTTCCAGGTATGAATGGTAAATATACATAATCAGGATATTTTACAGATCATGCACTTGAAAAGGTAATAATACATAAAAGTTGATATTTCAGGATAGAAAACAGCCCAAGGACTCCAGTTTGACATGGGACTGGCCATTTATCATACAGGGTGAGATTAGGAGGGAAGGGAGGTATCATGAAATAAATTAAAATATAATTATATGTTTGAACATTGAATAAGAACTTGATGTTTTTGGTGTTGGGGGTGTCGGTGGTTTCAGCAGAGTAAGATACAGTCCTAAGACCAATCCTTTTCCCTCCTAAAATCTGAAAAGACCAGTCCCCATGTTACCTGTACGTAGCCTTCTAGTACAGCAGTAACTCCGCATATGCATGTTTGTAATCCAGAAATCTCATGTTAACATAACCACGGAAGTACTCATAAGTACAATCTTCCATGGTCTGGGAACATCAATGGTGTCAAATATATAACCTGCCAGTGTAATGTTCCCCAAAACTATCTTAGCACTTAGACTAATGTAAGAGTATGTTAAAGTATGGGAGTTACAACTGTCTTAGCACCAAGATCGCTTTGTGTAGTGGCACCCTGGATTAATAATGCTTCAAAATAAATATGAAAATTACACAGTGTTTGTATATGACATATCAACATACTTAATTTCTTTCAGAGGCTTTTAGCAGTTTGAGCAGTAAGAAGCATAACAAAATATATGAATGAACAACTTCTCTATCTAAGTAACAGCGACGTTTCGGTGTAGGTTCTAACACCATCGCTCGCACTGCAATAAAGAAGTTGCTTATCCATATATCGTTATCCTTCCTTACCAACATACCTGTCAGAACTGCTATGCGATGATTTATTATGCGGTCGCTCTGTTGAGGCTATGGAATTAAGACAATGCTAGACACAAGTTTAAAGTGAGCTTGTGTCATAGTGGAAGTCATGGTGATCAGAGAATGCTTGACACAATGTATAAAGAGAGCTTGTGTCATTGAGGAAGTTATTTCACCACTTCACTGTTGTTAAAGTCTCATTCTAAACCTATAGACAAATAACATAACTCGAATCTTCACCATACCTCTTATCAATGCTGCATCATCACAGAAGAAACTCACCAGGTCTCTATCGTCAACATAATGATAAAACATACATTTTATTTGGGATTACACTTTCTCAATAAAGTACAGATTCTAGTACTTTTGTTGGGTTGTGTCCTGTCTGGGATTCGAACCCTCACTTTAAGAATCAAGCATCTAATCGCCAGCACACATAATAGTAAAAGGTTGATCTCAAAATTTCCAAATCTCTAAACAAATATGAAAACTTACAGTATTTGATCATAAAAAATACAATATATATTCTAAAAATGTACTGGTATTTCAATCTAGAATAGAATATGGTTGTCTTGCTGAACAATATTATGATCAGGACATAAAATCCCTACTTTTATGATGGTTATCATATAATTCTACCATAATTTTGAGATATATTCGATTCTAACTGGTCAGTCAGGTCACCAATCATAATAACGACTTTTGTATAAAACAACCAATTTGATTGCTGCATCAAATATAGTTGTATGTTACATGTTTTGATTAATGCATCTCTGTGGAAGATTAATAGAAAACTACTGTTGGTTGGCATCTAAAATCCTTAATAGGTCATAAAATGCAGACATGTGGTAATTAAAATATTCGAAGTAAATGTGACAATATATTTTGTCCAAAAAACATGATAAAATCACGATTTGAAACCTTATGCAACTGGATTAGTTCCCAAATCAATTTATTGTTGTCAAATCTACAAGACACCCGACTCTAAGCTAAAAACACAAGATGTTCATTTTCTAAATATAAATACGGCAAGTATAGATCATGTTTGATTAAGGCTCAAACTATTTCAGGAAATTACAAACCCGGAATATTATCCATCTTTACTGAAAACAGTACGGCAAGTGCTGCATGCTATTCACTACCAGTATAATGAGTTACAATATGTAATAAATCATTAACATCACTGAAAAACTTTCGTTCCTCCAAAGTTAGAGGGACCTGTTGTCTTCTTTAACAGATTCGTGCACCATGTTGTTGCCAGAGTTAGCCTCAGTGTTACAAGTAGATTGTTACAGGATTTGTTTGAGTGAGAGGCAAGCATGGATCTGAAAATGCTTTTTACATTGTCTTTGGTATCCCACGAAAATGGCTACTTTGGCAAGTCTTCAACGCATTTGCCAATCCTTGAAATCAATGTTAATACAAAAACATAATGTCTTGGTGAATTATGATGAAGGTGAAAATGATGTGGTCCAAAAATCAAAAACAAAATAAAATTCAGATTGTACTACAGCTTGGCACAAGTTGACTTCAGGTTATTTTTCTGGGGAACTGGCAGAAAATATCAACTACAAATTATGGCATGATTCTGCCACATAATATTTGTTAGCTCCATCAAACATTATGTAGCAAGTAATAAAACAGACATACACAAGCTATGAGTGGATTAGTTCATGGCTAACCGCAGCTATTTACAATAATGTTCTTAATCAGCTTCAAAACCACATCATCTCCTGTGACATTATATTACACACTGTCTCCATGATATACTATACAATAATATTTCTGTAGAGATGAAAAAAAGCCCCTTGAATATAAAGGATCTATTATGCTTTCATGATTATTATGAACACATTGACTTCAAATTCCAACACACTAATTTCATCAAAAGATAGAAAATAGACCTTTGTGTATCATTGTTTACCGTACATAGAAAAACAAACAAACTATCAAAGCCTTTATATTTGTAAACATCGTATTCCTCCACATCCAAGGTACTCATGCTTCACTGAATGTCAACCTGACCTGTCAATAACTATGTACTCATTGTTATACAGTTGAACATTGCTAAACAACATCATACCGTTCCCAGAGGCTGCACCTTGATTAACACATTTCTTGATAGATACAAATAAACATCCCAACAAGGAACTGTCCAGAAGAAAGGGAATGATGTTTTCACGATATAGTCATTGGCTGATTCATGAGCCCTGGTGTAAAATAGAACTCAACATATTGTTGCTGGAAGTGTCTAGTAATTCTTTAAACAACAGAGTACCAGTCACAACTGACTAAAATCATACAGTGTTTTGTAAACTGCAGTTAGGACTTGATCTTACTGATGAGAAGATAACTGGGTACTAGTTTTCCAAATCAACATAATAAAAATACACTGAACTTCATGGCCTAAAATTATTCACAAAATACTGAGCTAAAATGATAGATAGAAAGATAAATAATGTGTATCATGAAACGTTTGAAAACATATTCAAATCAATTTGCCAGGCCAGAGTACATAAATAACAAATGCTGAATTAGTCCTTGTTTACATGATTGTCATACTTGTATCACTGTCTATTACTGTGTATACATACGTGTGTAAGTCTTCCAAACTAGATCACATGTAAACAAAACAGAAACAGTAATGTGAAAGTACCCAGGACTACCTGAAAAGGCACAGTGTGTAGGAATAAAATTTTCTTCAATAATAAATTCTCTTCTTGGTCTACATGGCACATATCAAACATTGAAACTGGGTAAGGTTTAAAAAAATATTTAGTAAGTTTGGTCCAAGGCCAGTGATTCTTCACTGAAAATATTTGTATGCAATGTTACTACCCGGAGCTAACTGTAAGAATATGGGTGACTAGTCTTTGTAACAATGAACTGGAAATGATTCAAAACAAGATGAAAAACATTCGCCTTATGTTGGTCCTATGCCAATACACTTACTGCATTGTCACTAACCAGTCATTATGATGATGTAGTGGAATTATTTCAGTATCCTGAGGGGTGGATCTTAAGATGATGAGCCCCACACAGCAGAAACATCTAGGTATGTGTAACTTACTTGATATCTATTTCACACTTCCTCATTGCCTTAATCCAAGTCTATACTTTGACTAATCTTAAAACCTTACGCAAGGCAGCACAATAAAAGATTTTTAGCACAAAGGTAGGGGTGAGGGGCCTATTTAGTCCACTAGAAACATAAAATTTTGACGAGGAACACTTTGAGATACTGGTATGAAAATAGAAAATAATCAGACATGTTATCTAGCTGAGAGATTGTCTCTTGTCCTTACAATCACAAGTTTTGGACTTTTGACTCAACAATATATAAGTATGGATAAAGTGAGTGAAAAGGACAACTGTTTTTACTTCAAAAGAAATTGTAAGTATAGTGACACAAGATGATTTTTTATATCATATGTTCATAATATTTTAATGTTCATTCGTGTAGAATTCAGCTTGTATCAAAGACTTGCTCGTGTCAGATATCAGAAGAAAACCTCCCAAAAGCCCTAAAATCAGCGGTAAAAACACATTTGGGTTCAAACTATGCCAGCAGTGGTACTATTAGTTCCAAAGAGGCAACTGTCCAAATGAACATGGACTATTTTTCATTCATATGAACACATTAGATTAAAAGAAGCTTTCATAATTTGTAAAGGTTTTCCTGACAACTTAAATTATTGATATCTTATCCCACCTTGTCCTTTAACTGTTACAACACAACCTTTTTTGCATCATTAAACATGTCTTCAGAAACCACCATATATACACTAACATGGCAAAATTTGTAAAACCCTTGTCCTAGTAATTTCAATAAGTTGTACAAACCACACTAGTAACTATGTCAACAAGAACAAAACAACCTGTGATGACAATAACAAGTGAAATGTGAGATCTACAAAATTTCACTATAAAGTATTAACATGACAGCAAGAAAATGTACTCTTGCCTTGTAGAATCGACAATAACTTTGTTTATAAGTATACATATACATCAGGTAAATAATTATTTCGAAGACATTAATGGAAAGAAATACATTACTATGGCACAATATCAACTACTAGTACATTAACAAAATGATAAACAAAAACAGTACATAGTAACAAAACAATTGGCACAAATCCTGGTTAAACAGTATTACACAAATGCAGACAACATACACCATGAAGTGTACAGTCATCATGGCACCAGTCATAGAAATCATCATTGATGCTTCTGGTAAAGCCTTCAGGTAAAGTTGGAGTAAGTTGAGAAATTCTCCAGGTAATCTCGTACTGCATCATAGCAGAACTTGAACTGGTTCTGAAAGAGAACACAACCCCCTCAAAATGTAATCAGCAAGTAAGAATATAATGAGTATGTAATTTTTCAAGTAAAATTGATATTTTTATACTTATCCTGACTCATGATCTTTTGCTTATCTCCCTTGTCCTTGCGAATGGTAGTGGAACACTTGAATCCCTTGAAGTTCCCGAAGCGGATGTAAAAATACACTCACCCACGAGTTACCTCCCTTTTCCCGCGTAAACAGTCATGCGACCAGCCTTACTTGTCACTCTCTCCTGATTTTTCTGCCTATGCACTTGGATCTGCTGTGCAATCCGAAGTGTTTCCAGCGGGGAGGTCGGGAGGGCTTGACCTCATGAGTCAGGATAAGTATAAAAATATCAATTTTACTTGAAAAATTACATATTTTTTCTTATCCTGACTCATGATCTTTTGCTTATAGAATCCGACGGATTGGTGGTGGGTCAAGCCACTTCCTGGATTCATTAGCTGTCCTTAGATACATCCTGTATCCCCATGGGAACTGCGTAGCGGCATTGCCGAGATCCTGTTCTTCCAACTTCTGTTATAACTCGGGGGGACCACTTCTTGTCTTACTTCAGTCTCAGACAAGTTGAATCCGAATCATCTTGATTCATGTGGCTTCAGATAAACTAGTATCTTCTTATTACTAGATATCTTATAACAACCCACAGATTATGATAAGATCTTTATCATAAATGAGTTGCGACCCCCTTCACGTACAGGTAAGATCTTTACCCGTACAGGATCTTTAATCACTCATGCTAGCCTGTCCTAGACTGTGCGCATGGACTTTCAAACTAATACTTTTCTTAGTAAAAGTTATCAACAAGTCAATGTGATAAAGGGTGAGATTTTCCAACTCAGCACCTTTGTGGAGCCGTTAGTAGCTGTGCTACAATGAGAGGCCCAAATTGGTGAATGCCTGAGATGTCTTGAGTGGCTATGTCTCGGAGGTAGTGGTTGGCAAACACCGTGTCCGACTTCTAAAAGCAGCCGTCCATAATTGCTGATATAGATCAATTTCCATGCAGAGCTAGTGTTGACGCCAATGCTCTGACTTCGTGTGGGTTGGAAGCTCTTGGAGGTTCTAGTCCTGCTGCTTTATAGGCTCTCAATATGACGGCTCTCATCCAGAACGATATCGTCATTCTTGAGACTTCTGCTGATGTCTCTGTGGATAATGGGATGAATAGGCGCTTGAATTTTCGTCTCCTTGTCTTAGTCTTTGAAGATATATCTTCAGGGCTCTGACCGGACACAAGGATAGGTCATCTATATCCTCTGGTCCGAGGATTGTAGATAGCGCTGGTACGTAGAACTGTCTATCAGGCTGACCAGGTACTAGTAGTTGGTTCTTGGCAATGAAGTACTATCTAAGTCCTAGATGAACTAGGAGGCTTGGTTATTCATATGAATAATCATAGAGCCGACGATATTCCAAACGGTAGGACGTTCCATTGGAAGTGCCAACCTCTGATTGCAGTGATGATGCATCATTCTTCCCCTTATATACGCAGGCTATCCTTATATACGCATAGCTCTACCGATCAGGAGATAACTGATGAATAACTAGACTTCGTCTTCCCAGACTCAGAGGTTACAGATTGGATAGCCAATGGTTTGAACTTGGAGTCTCCTTCTAAGGATCATCCTTCTGCGAACCTGTATCCCTTCTCGAACCTCCATCATCCTTTTGCGAACTGAAGATTCCTCCCTTCGCGAACGTCTATCTTGAGAGTCCTCTTCACGAACCACTATCTGTGGATTTATCTCTTCGCGAACCTCTGTGACGTGAGCCTACTCTTCTCGAACCTCTGTCGCAAGATGTATCCCTTCGTGAACCTCTGTGGTGTGAGCCTTCTCTTTGCGAACCTCTGTCTTGTGATGAGTGATTTCGCGAACGTCTGTGAGAGATATGAGATCTCGATCTAGAACGGCTATGTGTAGGAGATGAATCCTTCTATGTTCTCGAAAGTTGAGGGTCCGCAGATGTGACGTGAGCCTACTCTTCTCGAACCTCTGTCGCTAGATGTATCCCTTCGTGAACCTCTGTGGTGTGAGCCTTCTCTTCGCGAACCTCTGTCTTGTGATGAGTGACTTCGCGAACGTCTGTGAGAGATATGAGATCTCTATCTAGAACGGCTAGGTGTAGGAGATGGATCCTTCTATGTTCTTGAAAGTTGAGGGTCCGCAGATGTAGAACGGTGAGTAGGCATCTCATGTCTTCTATCCTCCACCAAGATGATAAAGTCGTCAGACTGAGGATACCTTCGCAAAGGTGTACGTTCGCCAACGTAGACTTGAGACGTAGTTCTATGTGGAGTAGGTTCGCACAGGTCCGTAGGTTTGCGCACGGTGTCAGTAGATGAGAGGCTTCGCCGAGCCTTCGCTTTTTCCTCCATCATAGCCATCATCTGGCTGGTAAATTGTCTCATAATTTCACCCAGATCAAGTTCTGCGTTGATTGAAGCTGCTCCGGTGTAGAAGAAGCGTTTGCGAACACTGATGAGTTCTGTGCCTCAACTTCACTCCGTTGAGAAGTAGGTGGTAGTTCGTCAAACAGCTGGCCTGCTGTGACTGTTGCAGGAGACGATCTAGTAGTCGTGGAAGTTGATTGAGTCGCCGATCTTGTAGGTACTTCAATAAGTACAACGCAAGCTGGAAGAACATGGTTTTATGCACGAAAGGAATTTGGGGGTGAGGATCAGCCACGGATAACCTGTGCCTGCAAACATTGCAAGATTTCATGAAATGCAAACAAAGTTACATAACGATGAAATTATGACACAAATACAAATAATTTTTACAAATTGTTTACATTTATTGCCAAATCCATACACAGCGTAATTTTGAAGAATAGGAACTAAATAAAAAGGTTATAATGCCGTATATGGGACTCCAGTGCTCGCCCAATCATCCACTTGGGTGAAAAGGGAGAGAGCGACAAGTAAGGCTGGTCACATGACTGTTTGCGCGGGAAAAGGGCAAAAGGGAGGTAACTCGTGGGTGAGTGTATTTTTACGTCCGCCTCGGGAACTTCAAGGGATTCAAGTGTTCCACTACCATTCGCAAGGACAAGGGAGATAAGCAAAAGATCATGAGTCAGGATAATTAAAAATTTGCACAATTAGGGTTTAAAGCTGCATCAACCAGTATTTCAGATATGTCATGTGTTAAGACGTTAAATGTTGATGAATTTGGTGAAACCCACAAGCATGGGCATGGTTTGACAGAGTGAATCTGGATTTCAAAACATCAATATGTTAGGGAAACAAACTCTCAAACTACCCCAGCAATTTAGCATGCACGCACGCACATACTTCTTTGAAACCATAGGATATTGAGTGAGGGAGTAAGCAAGTGAGTTTTGAGTTAATCATCTCATGAAAGGGGACACTAAGTACAGACTTTACATATTGTGCCCATGTGACCACCAGAAACCCTGTATAAATGTAACATCTAGACAAACTACTAGGTTGTAGATGAAGTGAGGTGAAAGAGAGCTTAATGTTTGTAGTCATCATTATTGCCCTTTTACAGCAACGTGCATGCAATGTGTGTGAACTAGTCCCGATGTTATAGTGCAAGCCAAGATACTATGTTGCAGTTTCATACTCCACTTAGTATACTCCACTGTATACAGTCAAACAAGGTAACCATCTTGTAATGTCATTTGGCATGATGCAGCCTGGGATTGAACTACCAGCCTCTCCAGTATCCACTGAGTTGGTTATACTTGCTGACAGCCATGACAAGTAACCAGTATCTGACTTTGTACTGACAAGGTTTCTGATTCTGTCAAGTCAGTGTTATGCAGTAACACTTTCACAAATAGGCTAAGACCCTGGGCCTCTGTGGTTTAATCTAAATTAGTCTAAGATGAACTTACGTAGTCTTGGACGAGTTGTGGTCGACACACTCTCATCTGGTTAATGGTCTGCAGGATACTGACATCCTGCTCAATCTTCAGTCTCTCCAAGATGGCTGACAGCACACAGAACAGCCCAGACCTTGTAACACCATCCCTACAAAAATGGACGGACTCACAGTTATTAACAGCTCCTGTCACATTCACCACAAAGTGACTTCAACTCTTTCAAAGTATATATACAACTGTTATTGTCTTTCAACATTTCATGCCATTAAAAAACAACTGGTTATCATGAATCCTATTCGCTGACCCTGGTACTGCCAAGTTATAGACCAAGAACACTCACATGCAGTGTACTGTGACTTGTTCATGCTCTGTCTTCTGCTGCCACAGCACCACAGCTTCAATGACAGCAAACATGGGGAAGTCAGAGTATGGAATAACCTGTTCATGCCTCCAGAAGTTGCACTTGAACAGCTTGATCACACGTGGGGTACCATTCTGAAAGAAAGAGAGTAAAAAGTGAACATCAATAAAGACAAATATATGTATCTATCATCCTCTGGGTATAGAAAGGGCAAGATGTAACACCTTTCCCCAAGCATTAACAGCATTGTTGACATATTGCAAGTGCCAACTGCTGATTTGAGTGAGTGAGTGAATGAGTGGGTGGCTGAGTGTGTGAGTGAGTGAGCTTTTTTCTGGTACAATTTCAGTACAGACATCATATGCCAACTCAACTAGATCAAGGTTGCTAGTATATTTAGGACACTTCATCTATGACTATAGCCACTACTGTCTCACCTCTCCATCTCTGTTACTCTTGTTGACTTTCAAGGTGATGACTCTGTAACATTCATATTCCTCATCCTCATCCACCTCCACCAAGTACGGCCCATACACCTGCTTCCTTTGGTTCTTCTGGGGCCAGTAGAAGCCGACAGTCTAAAGGAGAAGTATACCACTTACTAGTAATGTTTACCACAACCTGAGTTCACAAACATAGAGAGTGACAAACAACAGTAAATATTAACAACAGTCATCAAAAGATGACATATCCCCCAGCCCCACATATTTGAAAGAACAAATCATCTGACAGTTACTTAAAGTCCAGCTTGACTTTTCTTTAAACTAAGTCCAAATAATTTCAATGGAAATCATGAGAAATATAAATGCCAAAAATCTGTAAATAGCAAAAGGCACCATTTCAACATTTGCCTAATATATCTGCCAAGTTCTGTTGAAAGATACTGAACGCTTTTCGAGTTGTGCACCGGAAATGAAGCCCACCCCTCCCTTTTGGAAACCGAGAAAATAATAAATCACAAAAATCTGCAAATAGCAAAAGGCACCACTTTGGCATCTGCCTCACATATCTGCCAAGTTTTGCTGAAAAAGATTAAGAAGTTTTCCAGTTGTGCTCCGGAAACGGAACCCAACCCTCCCTCTTGAGACTATGTCCGAATCGTTTCCGTGGAAACCAGAAAAATCAAAAATGCCAAAAATCTGCAAATAGCAAAAGGCACCATTTAAAGGTTCTGTTTGATATATCTACCAAGTTTTGTTGAAAAATATTGAATGGTTCTTGAGTTATGCTCCGGAAACGAAGCCCGCCCCTCCCTTTTGGGACTTAATCCGAATCGTTTCCATGGAAACCGGGAAAAATAAAAATGCCCAAAATCTGCAAATAGCAAAAGGCACCACTTAAGGATCTGTTTGATATATCTACCAAGTTTTGTTGAAAAATATTGATTGGTTTTGGAGTTATGCTCTGGAAACAAAATGATTACGGACGGACGGACGGACAGACGGACGAGGCAATGACTATACATAAAAATATTTCTAAAATATTAACAATGCTTGTAAACAAATATTCTGCTGCTACTGAATATTAGATGCCTAGGAATTTTAAATAGCAACTACTGGTTAATCAGGCACAATCCTCACAATTTGTAATCCCTGTTTAATCTATACATAGCAAGTTTTGATACACAAGATGGACCAGGTTTAGAAAACATAGAGCAAAGAGAACCCAAATCTCTCATGTAGGGAAGGCATCGGTGACCCAGGCCCCTGGGTTATCAGAAACACCTCACTAGGTTCATAAATTAGGTATGAGTTTAGGAATGTTTAGACTTTATAAGCATCTCATTCTGTCAACATCTTCTTCTCAACATCTCTCCCTCTGACTCACCGACTGATCTTCGTTATCATCATTGAGCATGACAATAGTCTGGGAGTAAGTCTCAAACATCAACCTCCAGAAGTCAATCACAGTATCCTTCATTGGCATCTGGGTCAGCAGGAAGGCCCGCTTCTGTTTGTAGGCCTGAGATGAAGAAGAAATAATTCTCATTATAAATATGTAATTCAGAGTTGTAGCATTACCTGCAGTCACCAAACAGTCTGTCATTGCTATATTTGTCCATTAACTGTATTTTACCATGATGATGAGACTTGCACTTACTGGTAAGAACACTGCATTGATGTAATCCGTCCTTCCATGGATGGGTGTTGACAGGAATGGCCGATAGTAGTCCGCTATAGGATGACAAAGAGTATGACTTCACTGCATAACCATAACAAATGGAACAAAACTTTAATGTATAGCGGTGCAGAATTCATTAAACATGTTTATATGGAAAAAGCAATCCACGCGTTGGGAAGTATGTTACAGGTGACTGACTGAATGTTGTGTAGTGCTATAAGTAGCAATATTACAAACTTAGTACAAAGGCCAGTTCAGTAATGACTTAAACATATTTCAAATTCAATAAATGAATATGAATTGGTGAACAAGCTGTTTTAGATTATATCAACACCACTCCCATACAACATATTCAGTAATCTGAGCGGGTTAGATGGCTGACTGTGTATGCTGGCTGAAATTTGTCATTATTACTTAACACAAATGGTCAAATATTCTGCAACATGCATGACACATTATCATATTAACTTATATTAACATTAAGTCTTGATTAACTTTTACTAGAATTTCTTAATGAGATATCAACTGGAAAGAACTTACATGCAACGATCTCTTGGAACCTGTTCTTGCTAGCATTTTCTGGCAGCATGGCTGTTTGGTACTCCTCCAGTCTGTAGGGAGGGCTCATCAGATTGAGAGTCTGCAGGCACAACAACACAACCTCAGTACATTACACACTACGATTCACTCCAGCTTATCTATCAATTAGCCCCTTTACAACAATAGCATCATGCTTCTAAAACATTCAGATATGTCTGTATAATGATATGGTTTGACAAATAACACTCATAACAGAACAACAGATGGCATCTTGTTCATTTGTTGTATGCAACTCTCAGCAATATGACAGTTATGTGTAAATGATCGAATCTGGAACTGACATTTCTGGTTTTGATATGATGAGTATGTCTCTATGCTACTAAGATATTATGGCATGCAAAGAAGTCTGATCACCAGATCTATTCATTTGTTTCTTCAGGGCTCGATTTAGTGCTTTGTTACTTGCACTGGTGCAACCCAATATTACAAAGTGCAACCTAGTTATTAGTTTAACTTGCATCAGGTGCAAGTCAATTTTTGAATGGGTAAACTTTTGAATAAAACATCTAAATAATTCAATAGCATATTTCTGATATTACATATTGCAATAAAAACAGTGCAACTGGAGTATGACTGGTGCAACTAGGTTTTTTATCTTAGGATGCACCTAGTGCAAGTGGGTTAACATCTCTTAAATTGAGCCCTGTTCTTACACACAACAGTGAATATCGGGCCCTCTATTCTTACAACAGATCTAAACTTCCCCTTCATGGACATGATAACATTGACAGTAGACAATGTACAAACTATTTTCAGTAAGACCTGTGAAGATCTGGGTTAGAATTGATCTTCAGTAACCCATGCTTGTCGTTAGAGGCGACTAACAGGATTGGGTCGTCAGTCTTGCTGACTTGGTTGACACGTCATTGTATCCCAATTGCGTAGATTGATACTCATGCTGTTGATCACTGGATTGTCTGGTCCAGACTTGATTATTTACAGACCGCTGCAATAAAGCTGGAATATTCCTAAGTGGGGCATAAAACTAAACTCACTCACCATTTTCAGTAAAATCAACCTTCTTCATGCTTATAACACTAGAATGGTTATAGTAGAAAAGTAAAGGTATTATGACACTAACAGGTAAGTTCTATGACTCCTATACTGTTGAGAGAAGCAGCGTGTCCAACAACTATCTGACACATACTCACCTCAAACTGTTCTCTGAGCCTGGAGACTCCTGTTTCTGGGTTGTCCTGTAGGAGGTTGTCATAGCTGGTTTTAAAGTCTGATGTAGAGACAGTTGTTCCCCCAGCCATCAGGGCCTCAATGAGCGCATTGTGGAGGAACTCGTATTGTTCCTGTAATGAACAATGATTATAAAGATTACTTGGAGGTAAACATGTTGCTTTGTACAAATCTTACAGCAATGTATAGGAAATAAATGTCCCATTAACTGGCACATGTACAGGGGTTCTGTTGTACCATACAACCTTAGTGCTACGACTGTCAAACTTATAGGTTAAGGCATGGGAGTAACGATCACCTTAGTGCTAAGATCGTTTTGTACAACCAACCCAAGGGAAGACCTCATGTCAACCTCATGTAACTCAGCTTATGACTGCTGTCACCCTAAAATTTCTTGGCAACTTTGTAAAAGAGTTTGAGAAAATAAATAGCCAATCTGATAAAACAAATTTCATTCTGTTTACCCATAAACAAAAGAGGTATTGATAAGTCCAGATGTATAACCCTACATAAAGTCACCCCAGTTCATACGAAAATTTGGATGGTTTAAGCAATAATTATTGTTACAAATCTTCTTTTATGCCTTATACACTGCTGATTTCCATAATTCTCCTAGATATCTCACACAGAACAAAATGTCAAAAGCATGGGCCATAAGATCTCACCAGTGTCTGCACCATGTTGACTCTCTCGTGCCTCATCCTCTTGACACAGCTGTAGGGATCTACTGTGTTGGATGACTTGGCCTCTTCAAACAGGTAGGACAGTGCCAGGAACGTTCCTGTTCTACCAATACCAGCACTACAAGTATAGGTGATTATGTGTCATTACTTGGGAAGGGCTCATTCAGCTATCCTGACAATAACCTCTTCAAATTCATGAGAAGAACCATATCCAAAATGTTTAGTAGTAGCCGACATAATAGTTGGCCAGGTATTCACAATGATTAGGTCACATTACTGATTGTCCTGAAATACAGTTGCTGATGAATACTATAATACAAAGTCCAAATTTCACATATTGCAACAATTACAACTCCTATAGCTAGACTGGACGTAGCCGCCTGACTGTGGAGCATAGTACTGTGTAACACTGACAGACAACTGTTGGCAAGTGATGTATATTGTCCCTGCATAAAAAACGAACCTGCAATGCACAACCATGGGCCCCTGTCCGTGTGTTGGGGTATTCTTGACTTTGAAGTAGAACTCCACTAGAGAAGCCACATCTGTTGGTACCCCCTTGTCAGGCCATGAGGTGAAGTGGAAGTGTTTCACTATCCGGACACTGGAAGACTTGTTTTTGCTCTGTCAGGTATCATGCAAACGGTCACAAATACACACAGGAATATGAAAAAACCCAATAATAATTGATACCAAAGCGATGATACAACAATCCCGAAATGTTGATTTCACAACATCGTCTCTTCTAATTCACTCAGGAATTTATCATTCTGGGATTCAGGTTAGAGAAAGGACTTGATGTTGTTTAATGGTCTAAAGCAATAGTGACATTGGGCAGTTGCTCTGAAAAGTTCAACCTTGAATATTTTTCTGGCTACAAAACTAGTAGAAGAATACTCCAGGATAATCTGGACTTGAATCAAAGGTAGCTGGCTAGGTTAATCAGAGAAACTATACACAGAGAACTGTGGTGCTCTAGACAACTGAGCCAAAGAGCAAACATCCCTATAATATATGGCCTTTGTACATAACTCATGAAATGTCTCACTGAATGTCTGAACATGCTGCATGCAATATCTACCGGTTTGACCTTGCAGATCTTGAGTGTCCTGATGGTGTAATGGGCAAGCACTTCCTCTGTGGTGCACTCAATCACCATGTTGCCGTACTGCACTGGACCTGCACTGTATTCCGGCCAGTACATCACACACTTCATCTACAACAACATCTACAGCGTCTACACCAACATCATCATATTCAGTCCATAACAAACACATATTAAGTACAGGCTTCTAATCATAAGACTTAAATGAAAGAGAAAAAAAAATAAATAAAAAAAATAAATAATGATGATGATTTAAGGGGGGGTCACCCATTTTTTTCTGGGGAGGTAGGGGGATCAGCAAATTTGTGCACAAGTTTCTTAGGGGGGTCAGCAATTTTGTACATAAAAATATTTTTTAAAAATGCTTTAAAAATATGGAAAGGGGAAGGGGGGTCATTGACTTTGTACATGACATGCATGGGGGGTCACTTACTTTGTACATGAATTTTAGGGGGTTCATTCACATTGTACGTGCTTCTCCATAAAAATCATCATCACCCCCTTGCCATAAATTATGAACGGTCCCTTAAGGGTGAGTATGTTGTGTTTGATGCCGCTTTGAACAATATTCCAGTTACATTAAGGCAAGTGTCAGCTTGATATGGGAACATAGACATGTACCACTTTCGTGAAACAGCAGAGCATATGTATGGTGAAACTTATAACACAGTGAGCTGGGGTTTGGACCCATGGTCACAGGGCTTGTGAAGGGACACAACTCTGCACAGCACATTGTGGCACTTATATCTGGGCCACCAAGCCAATGACTGCCACACACATACTTCCTCAAACTGGAGAATACAAGAAATACTTCTCTGGTACTTCATTCTTGGCTTAGTCACTGAACAATCAGATTTTGCATATCAAACATTACTCTGGCAATCACAGCCACACCATATTCCATCTAATCTATATAACGCATTCGTTTTATGCACCCATTAAACTTTGTACATAATCTAACAAATCATATAAATTCACTGCATATTTTACATATTTAATTTCATCATGTACTGCAATTATATTACATTACTCAACAGACACATGGGTTTGAATCATGTTTTAAATGATAGTTGGTAAATTTGAATGGTTCCTACTCTTCCCTCCTCGACGATGTTTGTTAACATGACAATTTTGCTGGTATTCAGTTGCCAGATCATCCTCCAGAAGTCGTTAACGATGGCATCAACGGGTCCTGAAGGGAACACAAACAGTCAACAACAAACAACACAAACAACATCTGTCTGACCAGACAAGCTCTGCACAATCGGCTACCGATTCCATGTCCACATTTGCTACTGAGATACAATATTATCAAGAAATGATCTATTCCATACCTATTAAGAACCTTACCAGATTACAATACTTCTGCAAAGAATGTTATATTTTTGTGTGATATGACTCACTTTTCAGGTCAGACAATACAACTAACATAAATCACTCAAAATCAAAACTGTTATTAAAGAGGGCATATAATGTTACTATTAATTGGGGTGGTTGTTTAACTGGTCAGCTCATCGGAAATGACAACCATGCAATATCTAACATGAATTTAACACCAACTTAATGAATGAAATTATTACATTTGAAAATTAAAAAGTCTTCTTAATCATCTGCTAATAATATCTTGGAAAATATTTAACTATTTAGCAAATTATTTGTTTGAACACATGCTGAAGATTCTTTTGTCTTAAATTTAAACATTAATGTCATGCTTTTATCATGTTTATATGCATTTACACTTTATTACCTTCCTCAGTAACAATTATTTCTTGAAGGGGAACATCTACATAGCTACAATGACTGTAAAACAGTGTAAAATGTTAATACAACTTGCAAAGGGAGCACATGGGAAAATAGCAACATTCCAACTCTGAAGTTGATTAAAATGGTGATAAAAGCCCCAAATACCTTGTGAGGCCACAAACTGTTTAGGTTTCTTGTATCCCTGAAATACAGATGAAAGGAGACTTTAGTAACAGCTGTGATACAAACATAATAATTTTACATGACTAGAGATGCAACAGACTTTTTTGACAATACAGACCACAATTTTATTAAGGAACATTCTATAAGTTACTTACCCATATATATATCATACGAAAACAAAATCTCCAATAGTGTCCTGTATGATGTAATACCAACGACCAAAAATAGGGAAGAAATGAAATAATAGTTCAGGTGTAATGAAATATCTGCAAAATATATTCTGGTATGTGGGTCAATATCAGGAGAGTCCACCGTGTTACCATGACTCCCTGATGGCATGCTGTTAAGTAACATGCAAATGGTTGCGATTGTTATAGCCCCGATTCCACTTCAAGAGGCACCCCAAGCTTGGACAAGTGTTGGTTCTGGGTGTCTATCCGCCACAGACCATCCAAAAGATGCACTAATTGGAACATGTCAAGTGATGTAAGAGGTTATATCCCATTATCCATAAGCCTTCTCACTGGAGATAATTGTGACAATCTCAGCACCACAGAGTCAGATATTGTCATGTTGCAGTTCAAAATTTCAGCTGATAATTCATGCAGGTGGAACAATGATAAGACGCAAAGTTTCCTCCACATATCACTGGCAAGTTGGACAAGAACTGTTATCCTGGCATGCTGCCTATGTTATTAACAACATTCTGCCACAGAATGATTCTCAAATAAGAGGCAAACCTTGTTTCATTTCCTAACATGGCTTAAAGCCACTGGGGCACAGCCCACCCCTGGTGTTACCTAGGCGACCCCTATGTTTGCCACCTGTGGTAAGGTGTTAGGGTCACCCCCTCTACAGGACGCCTTACCATCAGGCAGTAGTACAGTCAAATCCCGATGAGTCGAATGCCGGTGTCTCGAATATTATGCAGAACTCGAAGAACCCGTAGGTCCCGACCATTCCCTGTTACAGTTGTCATCATTTGAATACCGGTTACACGAAGTCGTCTCATAAATACACACGATGACTTGAGAAGGAAATTTGGTCCCATGAAATTAAAACGACAGCAATCTTGTATACATAAGCCGAAGTCAGTCAATGAGAAGTTAATTGGTGTAGCTAACTGATCGAATTAACAAACCAGCGCAACTTACACCTTTCCGCCATTGACGGGTGAGTTCAAAAGGCAGATTAGTGATTTTACAGAAATCACTGTCTGTGCTAATCAGACTGGAACTGATAAAGTGCCCCTATTAGTGATAAGAAAATCTGCTAAGCCGCGTTGTTTTAAGAAAGTCAAATCTTTGCCGACTTCATACTGTCACAAGTCCTCCTGGATAACGTTTTGTATATTTGTGGATTGGGTAATATCATTAGATAAACAAATGCTTAGGCGGTGGAATTAGGACCGGATCATCTTTCTGTCTACCCTCATTGACATACCTATGTCTCAAATACATTGATAAGTCGAATTTATTACTTGGTCCCCAGCGATTTGACTCATCGGGATTTGACTGTTTTTACAAAAAAAACCATATGAAACATGTGCAAGCCTATGACTACTGACACGTTGATGTTAAATAACCTTGGCTTTCCACTGCCTGACAATGATTTGCAGGGAGATCCCTGTCTTCAACAGAGACAACTGAAAGTTTGTTTGATCAGTGGACTGAGACACCCAGTGGTAACTTACCCCAACATAGCTGGCATTGATGTAGTCCGAATAGGGGTCATCATTATCTGGGTCTAGGATCACTCTTGTTCTGTCGACTAAGAAACAGCAAATGCGATAAAAATGTAATTTTTCAAGTAAAATTGATATTTTAATACTTATGCTGACTCATGATCTTTTGATTATCTCCCTTTCCCTTGCGAATGGTAGTGGAACACTTGAATCCCTTGAAGTTCCTGAAGCAGATGTAAAAATACACTGCCCCACGAGTTACCTCCCTTTAGCCCTTTCCCGCGTAAACAGTCATGTGACCAGCCTTACTTGTCACTCTCTCCTGATTTTCTGCCCATGCACTTGGATCTGCTGTGAAATCCTAAGTGTTTCCAGTGGGGAGGGCTTGACCTCATGAGTCAGGATAAGTATAAAAATATCAATTTTACTTGAAAAATTACATATTTTTTCTTATCCTGACTCATGATCTTTTGCTTATAGAATCCTGCGGATAGGTGGTGGGTCAGGCCACTTCCTGGATTCATCAGCTGTCCTTAGATACGTCCTGTGTCCCCCCCATGGGAACTGCGAAACGGCATTTCCGAGATCCTATTCTTCCAACTTATGTTATAACTCGGGGGGACCACTTCTTGTCTTACTTCAATCTCAGACAAGTTGAATCATGTTGATTCAGAAAAACTAGTATCTTCTTATTACTAGATATCTTATAACAACCCACAGATTATTTATCATAAATGAGTTGCGACCCCTTCATTTACAGGTAAGATCTTTACCCGTACAGGATCTATAATCACTCATGCTAGCCTGTCCTAGACTGTGCGCATGGACTTTCAAACTAATACTTTTCCTTAGTAAAAGTTATCAACAAGTCAATGTGATAAAGGGTGAGATTTTCCAACTCAGCACCTTTGAGGAACCGTTAGTTGCTGTGCTACAACGAGAGGCCCAATTGGTGAATGCCTGAGATGTCTTGAGTGGCTATGTCTCGGAGGTAGTGGTTGGCAAACACCGTGTCCGACTTCCAAAAGCAACCCTCCATAATTGCTGCTATAGAGCAATTTCCATGGAGAACCAGTGTTGACGCCAGTTCTCTGACTTCGTGTGGGTTGGAAGCTCTAGAAGGTTCTAGTCCTGCTGCTTTATAGGCTCTCAATATGACGGCTCTCATCCAGAACGATTATCGTCGTTCTTGAGACTTCTGCTGATGTCTCTGTTGATAATGGGATGAACAGGCTCTTGAATTTTCGTCTCCTTGTCTCAGTCTTTTGAAGATATATCTCCAGGGCTCTGACCGGACACAAGGATAGGTCTTCTATATCCTCTGAGCCGAGGATTGTAGATAGCGCTGGTACGTGGAACTGTCTATCTGGCTGACCAGGTAGTTGGTTCTTGGCAATGAAGTCCCATCTAAGTCCTAGATGAACTGCAGCATGTTGCCCTGTGTCGAATCTGGTTCGACCAAAGTCCAGCGCATGTCTCTCTGAAATTCGAGCTGCTGTGGCTAGTGCAAGCAGGAACAGAGTCTTCTGTGTCAGCAGCTCGAAGGTAGTCTTGTCTAGAGGTTCGTAGGCATCACTTGTATTAGTTGTAAGATGACGTGGAACTACATTCAGATCCCAGGCCGGAGCTCTGAACTTCTTTTGCTGGTCCTCCAGTGTAAAATATCTCAGCAGAGCAAGTAATTCTGGCACTTTCGTCAACTTGATGCCTGTTTTCATAGTAATCACTGTACTGATGGCAGCGAGGTATGTAGATAATGTCGAACCGTTCAGATATCTAGTATGTCTAAGATGACACAGGTATTCTGCCACTTGAGGATGAGTAGCTTTCATTGCAATGAAGCCTTTCTGTGTCTTGCATAAGTCTCAAACTTAAGCCACTTGTCATCATACAGGTTATGAGTATATCTAAATGACTGAGTTTGGTTTTATGCCGCTTTTAGCAATATTCCAGCAACATCCACACATGTAGCTGGAACAGTGTCTGGTTTCCGTGGACTTGCTTGGTGTGCGGATGTATGAGTAGGTTCGGCCAATCTGGTAACTTGATTGTTGGACTTCCGAGATCTTCTATTAGGTCTAGGAACCATACTCTCGCTGGCCTTCCCAAGACCTGCTCAGTGCATCTGTTGCCCAGGCTTGAGGATCTGGAACCGGTGAGACAAAAGTCTGTAGTTGATTGTTGAACGTCGTGGCAAACAGGTCTATGCAAGGGAATCCTATTTCCCTTATGATGAGCCGGAACACTTCTGGATGGAGCATCCATTCCGTGGGTGACGGGTGCAATGGTCGGGAGAGAGCGTCTGCAAGTACGTTCTTGGCTTCGCTTCGGGTATGTGACATGCCTTTATCCAGATGTTTGCTTCCTCCGTGATGTGGAACAACTGGAATGTGAGCTGTAGCAGGCTTGGAGACCTTGTGGATCCTTGCCGATTTATGGAGAATGCCACTGTAGAGTTGTCCGTGTGGACCATCAGCATTTTGTTGTTCAGCGAGCTCGACCATAGTTGTAAGGCGTTGATCACTGCTTTCATCTCCAGCAGATTGATGTGAAGATGCTGCTCTATTTTGGACCACCTCCCTGATGCAACTAGATTGTTGAGATGCGCACCCCAGCCTTGTATCGAAGCGTCTGCGTAGAGATGTGTCGAAGGCCGGCTCTTGTAAATAGGTCTCTCCGCAAATGTTCGACCTGTGTGTCTACCACAGTAGATACCTCTTAAGGTTGTCTGGCAGCAAGATTGGGTCGACACTGTCTAGATGTTTTATCAGGAACTGTTGCAGCGGTCTTAGTTGTAACCTTCCTTCCTGAGTCAAGTCCTGCGCCAAGGTAAGTAGACCGAGTAGAGCTTGCCATGATCATAGTGTTAACGGAGAGATGACTGCTAGTGGAATCATGGCTTGTATCTCCAGAAATTGCAGATCTTGTTTTGGTTCCAATTCTGACTTCATAAGGTTCACCAGCCATCCTAGTTGAGTGAGCAACTTTATCGTGAAGTTCAGCTGTAGTTCCTGAGTTGAACCTTAATGCTGTCGTCCAAGTAGAAGGCATTGCGTAGACCTCGATCATGTAGATATGCGACTATAGGCTTGGTTACTCGTGTGAATAGCCATGGAGCCGAAGATATTCCAAACGGTAGGACGTTCCATTGGAAGTGCTGCCCTCTGAATAGGAATCGTAGATACTTTCTTGATTCCGGATGTATGGTGATGTGTAGATACGCATCCTGCAGGTCTATGCTGGCCATGTAATTTGCTGGAAGGACGAGTAGTCTGAGTTGAGGTAGGTGGATCATTCTGAACCTGTCTGGTTTCAGTAGATAGTCTTTGTTGAATTTGTGTGAAATCAGTCTGAACTTCTCCTTGGAGTTCTTCTTGGGTACTCAAAAATCGGGTCCTGGAGTGAGATGATGCTGATCTATTATCTCTACCGCCTCCTTCATAAGTTATGAGTTGATGGCTTCTTGTAGTCTGTCTGCCTGCTCCTCTGCATAGTCAAACACCATCGGGCTGAGGGTTAGCGGAGGTGTGGCCTTGAGTTGTACTCTGTATCCTTCTCGCAGTACTTGGGAGATGTGAGTCGCCCTCTAGTATTCCCCATTTTTCCAGTACCTTTGTAGACGCTCTACCCACTGTCGATGGTGGTTACAGGAACGGCTGGAGGTGGAAGACTCCAGTTGTTCGAACCCTGATATCAACGTCTAGTTCCTCTGGATCCTCTGGGAGTGCAGCCTCTCCTGAGTTTCCTCTGAAATTTCGGATTGGCTTACGAAATGATCCTTTGTCCTCTGAAGCTGGAGTACTTCTTCTCCTTTGCCTTCTGTATGCCGGAATATTTGGACTTGCTGTTATACTTTTGCGAAGTATGATGGATGACGTTGGCCAGAGTATCTATGGATTTTATAATCATCACTTCTCTAGAGTCGTGCGTAGCTTCCTTAGCTGCCTCGTCTATTTGTCCTCCAAAGATAGTAGGCGCCTCCCATGGAGCTCTAAGTAGCAGTTGGGTGAATCTGTCACTCCATGAACAGGATGCAAGTAGCCTTTGTCTGCGTAGTAAAGTGAGACCTGCAGATATAGATGCCAGATGGTCCGATAAAAAGTATTGGCCCTTCTTCTGAGTTATGAGCGCCAAATATATCATTCTGTCCTCTTCCGAACTTGGGTTCTGGAATTAATTGATCAATGCTTCATTGATAGCTCTGGACCTGGCCAACCCGATGAAGGATCTCCATGTAGCAGTATCAAGTTGAGATACCTTTTATCTTCTACTTTATACATATTGTTCCGGGAGTCGTTGACTAACTTCGTTATCATCCCATTCAGGCACCTTTTTGATAAATGGATCCATATGATGTAAGGGGAATCTTCTTCACATTAAATGATGGCAGATGCTGACTCTGGTACTTGGATGCTTTCAAAGCTGTGCTCCAGCGGTTGGAGGGTACCTTGGATAAAGGTTCAATCGGAGGGATAGTGACGGAGTCAAAGTCGTTACATATTGTTACGCATCACATAAGTGTAGACTTCCTCTTTATCCTTAGAAGGAGACTCCAAGTTCAACCCTGAAGGAGACTCTAAGTTGGCAATCCAAGCTGTAACCTCTCGCGCTCTGGGAAGATGAAGTCTGCTTGCTCATCCAGTATCTCCTGATTATTAGAGCTAGGCCTCCGCGTATCATCCATCTGCTAACCTGTATCCCTTCTTGAACCTTCATCATCCTTTTCATCGAACCTCTGTCTGAAGATTCCTCCCTCTGCTGAAAGTCTGTCTTGAGAGTCCTCTCTTTGCTTAAACCTCTATCTGTAGATTCATCTCTTTTGCGAACCTCTGTGATGTAGAGCTTTTTCTTCACGAACCACTATCTGTCTGTCGCTAGATGTATCCTTTAGCTAACTTCTGTGTATGATGTGAGCATTCTCTTATGCTAACCTCTGTCTCGTGATGAGTGACTTCGTGAACGTCTGTGAGAGATATGAGATCTCGATCTAGAGCGGCTAGGTGTAGGAGATGGATCCTTCTATGTTCTCGAAAGTTGAGGGTCCGCAGATGTAGAACGGTGAGTAGGCATCTCATGTCTTCTATCCTCCTCCAAGATGACAGAGTCGTCCAACTGTGGAGACCTTCGTAAAGGTATACGTTCACCAACATAGTCTTGAGACGTAGTTCTCTGAGGAGTAGGTTCGCGCAGGTCCGTAGGTTTGCGCACGATGTCGGTAGATTAAGAGGCTTTGCCGAGCCTTTCGCTTCTTCCTCGAACCTGCATTCCATCATGGTCATCATCTGGTTTGTGAATTGTCTCATAAATTCATCCGGATCAAAGTTCTGCATTGGTTGAAGCTGCTGCGGTGTAGAAGAAGCGTTCGCAAACGCTGATGAGTTCTGTGCCTCGACTTCACTCTGTTGAGAAGTAGGTGGTAGTTCGTCAAACAGCTGGCCTGCTGTGACTGTTGCAGGAGACGATTTAGTAGTCGTAGAAGTCCATTCAGTCGCTGATCTCGTAGGTACTTCGGGTAGAAGTAATGGGGGATCATCAAAAACGTCTACTTCATGTGGAGGTAATATCTCTTTGTTGAAGGATTTCTGATGCGTTGACTTACTAGCCCGCGTAGATTTACCCTCCGATCAGGTAACAGATGCTTTCTTCTGTGATGTAGAAGAAGATGACATCTTTTTCTTAGCTTGAGTCGGAGTCAACTGCGTTGTAGCCGATCTCTTCTTGGCCCCCGTACCAACAGACAGCCCCTGCAACGTACTCAACATAGCACCAGTATTATGAACTTTAGCAGTAGCAAGCAGCATACGGTTTGCAGGCTGATCTCCTGTTTTATCAGCCGTGACTTGAGATGACTTCCTCACCCGATCCATGGTATGTCTATAGATATAAGACAAATATTGATTAAATTGTAGATTGGATAAATCAAACAATAAGTACAGAGCAAGCTGAAAGAACATGGTTTTATGGACGAAGGGCATTGGGGGTGAGGATCAGCCACGGATAACCTGTGCCTGCAAACACTGCAAGATTTCATGAAATGTAAACACAGTTACATAACGATGAAATTATGACACAAATACAAATAATTTTTACAATTTTTTTTACATATAATACATAGTAGTTATTGCCAAATCCATACATAGCGTAATTTTTAAGAATAGGAACTAAATAAAAGGATATATTGCTGTATCACGGGACTCCAGTGCTTGCCAAACCATCCACTTGGGCAAAAGGAGAGCGTGACAAATGTAAGGCTGGTCACATGACTGTTTGCAAGGAAAGGGCTAAAGGGAGGTAACTTGTGGGTGAGTGTATTTTACATCCGCCGGGAACTTCAAGGGATTCAAGTGTTCCACTACCATTCGCAAGGGAAAGGGAGATAAGCAAAAGATCATGAGTTAGGACAAGAAAAAATTATATCCCCGTTTTTTCACTGAAAGAAAAGCTACTAAAAATATAGATATCTTCAAAATTGTGCAGTATCTTACAATTATAATGAGCATCAATATCCCTTAAACATCAGGTTACCTTTCATGGTTACACTCACATGACATAACAGATAGAGAAATATTATGCAAAACTTCATATTTTTCAAAGGTGTATGTCTCCAAAACAGGACAGCAAAACCCTCACATATTGACACAGTGTGGCAGTGGCAGTAAACATGACCTGACTTCCAGTACTTCTTTGACTGTGTTGCCATGAACTCACTAGACTTATTTTCAGCATACTTTTGTTTTTATAATCACTGTTTATCATGTTCATTCATGCGATATAGTTACTGGTTTTATTTGAAACAATGTCTGAAAGCTGATAAGGTGACTGATGACCAAATGTACCAAGGCATAAAGTAGAAAGTTTATTGATAATCCATTAACCACCTAGATTTGACTCAAAGTTTTAGGTTTAATGAAAGTGAGTGAGTGAGTGAGTGAGTGTGGTTTTGTGCCGCTTTTAGCAATATTTCAGCAATATCACGGCAGGGGACACCAGAAATGGGCTTCACACATTGTACCCATGTGGGGAATCAAACCCGGGTCTTTGGCGTGACAAGTGGATGCCTTAACCACTAGGATACCCCACAGCCCTGTTTAATGAAAGTACTTGCTACTATGATTAAGAACCTACATGCACAGATGTTCTTGTATCTGTTTTTGCTCCTGTGTTCTGGAGACATTGCAACGTCACAAGGAAGGAGCAGCCCAGTTGGTAGTTTCTGCAAGGCAAGTATCTCACTAATGTTATATGTTCTTACATCAGACTATAATTATATTAAAAGATGATTATCAAACCGAAGTTAAGATCACTAGTGTCTGTATCTGTATTCAGTAGGAATGTTAGGAAATTATACTTTAATCCAGGAAACATATATCTTTTCAAAATACAGACATATGTGGCAGTGCCTTTGGAATGATTAAACAAGACAAGATATATCCTGAGAATGTTCACACTGACAAGTTTTCTCTTTGTTCAAGTTGTCATTGAGCTGGGTCATTTAAAACCTTGAAACATACAACTTATAGTAAATTGATACAGAATCAAAACATCAACAGCAGCATCTCCTATTGGATTGCCAGGTGTATATATTCACAATGCATTAGCCACAAAGATAATAGTTTTCCTAAGCCATTTTAACAAGTGTTAAAAATCAAACTCACATCGTACTGTTCCTGATACCCTCCTTCCATTTTCAGCTGTTGAATGTGGCTCCACAGATCACTTGCCTTCACCATGGTAGCAGAGTTCTTTGAGACAAGGTTGTAGTATGGGTTCTCTGTGTCATCTTCATCCACATGAACATCTGCCACTGCCACATGGCCATTCTGGCTGCCTGCAACTCCATTCTTCTTGAATGTAGCACGCAGAGCCTTGCTGGGAGCTGTTGGTAAAGATTGAACTATATTGTTTCAATATATTCATTGGCAAGAGAAACAGTACAGCATCCTAATGATACAACATAATATTTGAAAATTTTAAAATAAAATATACTAAGCAGCAAAAGAAACTTCAGTTTGGAATTTTCCTTCGTAGAAATGGATAACTGTAAACTCATTTAATGTTTTGATTGTATATTTTTGACAACATCTCCAACTTTACCTGAGCAAAAGATATTCCTTCCCAAACTCAGAATTGAACCCAGGAAATGGTCTCAAAAAGGCAACCTGATCTCGGAGATGGTACAGTGTTCTCCATGTTTATCATGCAACTCATGCTTGTCTTCACAAGGACCAGCCCTATAAAATGCACTCTCAAACCTGGTTGAAACATTTACATTACAACGTCAGCATGATGCCCCTTCTCACGACAGCTGAGAGGAACCAGGCGCTAGGAAGACTTGAAGCTGGCCACACTGCACAAGCCGTTGCCAATCACTTCAAGGTCAACGTTCGGACCATCTACAGGCTGCAGCAATGTTTCCGGGCCACCAACACCACAAATGATCGCCCCCATACTGGCAGACCAAGGGTGACCACAAGACGACAAGACCGCCATGTTGCGTGACAGCATGTACAGAATCCTTTCATGCAGGCATCCGAAACAGCATGCCAGACAATGGGACACACGGAAGACCAATCAGTACTGATACAGTACACCGACATCTTAACAGTGGGAACCTCCATTGCCGTAGACCTTACCGTGTACCTATCCTCACCCCTCGACATCGGCGTGAACGACTAGAGTTTGCCCTACAGCACCAAAACTGGTGATACAGGCAATGGAGAACTGTTCTGTTCACAAACGAGAGTCGGTACAGCGTATCAACTGCAGATGGCAGAACAAGAATATGGCGACGATGTGGCCAGCGTTACTCAGACCAATGTGTTATGGAAAGAGACTTATGGAGAGGTGCAAGCATCATGGTATGGGGTGGAATAGGCCTGAACCAAAGAGTAGGTCCTGTGGTGTTTCAGAACCTTGGTCCAGGGAGAGGAGGCGGCATCACAGCGGTGCGCTACATCGACCAAGCTCTCAGACCCAACGTCATAACACATTTCGCACGCCACCGGATCAACATTTCCAGCATGACAACGTCTGGGCCCATACTGCCAGAGCTACACGGGACTTCCTAAAGCAGAACGGTGTCAACATTATGCAGTGGCCAGCCCTTAGTCCTGATTTAAACCCAGTTGAACATCTTTGGGATGAAATTCAGAGGAAACTGAATAATGTCATACCAAGGCTGAACACAACCGATTTATTGCACCAAGGCCTTTCTCAGAGTGTGGTTCAAGGTGCCAATAGCCTTCATAAATCAATTGGTGCACTCCATGCATAGACGCTGTGCTGCAGTTATTGCCGCTCGTGGTGGTCACACTAGATCCTGAAGTCAAGAGTCTGAATGGACTGCAAACGTTCCCGTAATGTCTTGAAATTGTGCTGAGTTATTCATTGATGTGTCAAGATATTGTACACAAAAAATGTTTTGATCCGCTTATTATGTCCATTTCTGTAATGATTTGATTACAGTGCCTATCTAATTTTGAATTTGTACTGATGGGGTTTTTGCTGCTGAGTATATTACAAGTGGGTGAGTGGGTATGTGGTGAGTGAGTTTTTGGGTTTATGGTCGGTGCGGTGAGTGAGTGAGGGAGGGAGCGAATTGGATTTTACGCTGTTTTTAGCTATAATCCAGCAATATAATGGTGGGGGACACCAGAAATGGCTTTCAGACTTTGTACCCATATGAGGAATCGAACCCAGGTCCTCAGCATGACAAGTAAACGCTTTGACCACTTGGCATCCCCACACTAGATTATATACAGACCACCACCATAATGCTGGAATATTGCTGAGTGTGGCGTTAAACAACAAACCAACCGACAACCAATGTATCCGCTGAGAATGTAGGTATTCTACTGTAGAAAAATAATAAGAATACAAATTTGAAACTCTCAAACCTCAAAGACAGGAAGGCAACTGTAAAACATTTCCAATGTTATAGGGATTAAAGTTTCTACATTTTCATGACTGCTCAAGGGCACAACAATTATTGTCTTAGGTGCAGAAGTGTGATGAAGAGTGTGTTACCCTGGTTACCTCCTGGAGAGTGACAGTATGATGGATTGGCAACAATATTGGGAGACAATGGCAACTGCTGGTAGTCAGATTTCCTTTTGTTCTTGGACTGGACAACACGTCTGTGGATCGAGAGGTAAGTCAATGATAACAGACTTGACAGAGCATGGAGAGTGTTCTTTGAACAATGAATAAGTTTACGACAGCGAACTGTATTTCAGTTATATGTCAGCAAGCCAGCTTCATGTGCAAGGAACACCAAAAGTCATGAAGCTGGTCTGCAGGTTTAAAACTTTTATGAAACACCTGAACATCTGTTCATTGGCAACAAACTAATGTTTATTATTACAGCAAATCTAGGATTTGAGTGAGTGAGTGAGTGAGTATGGTTCTATGCTGCTTTTAGCAATATTCAAGCAATATTCAAGCAATATCACAGTGGGAGACACCAGAAATGGGCTTTACAGATTGTACCCATGTTGTGAATCAAACCTGGGCCTTCGGCGTGACGATCTAACGCTTTAACCACTAGGCTACCCCACCGCCCCTCTAGGTTTGAACCCACAATGCATGGATCAAGGGACATACAAGGGACAAAATGCAGTGCTTGAAATAGTTGGAACACCCAAAGACCTTCTGGAAAGATATAATATATGGTGAAATAAGCTGTATCTAAATGGTTAAATTAATGTTTGAACAAAGTTTGTTCCAAACTTGAACTGCGCCATCAAGGAAACCAATTTAACCCTGTATTATTTATATAAGCAACCAAGTTTGTCAATCTCATCAGCACGTGGGCTACATATTATGGAAAATACACTAATTAAAACCTGCTAATAATTCCAATATTACAGCAGACTTTGTTATTTTGTAGTCCTCGAAAATATACTTCACCTTTTGTAGACTAAGAAAGCTATAACGAGGAGGACTGCTATCAGCAAGATGGCCACAACGGCCAGGATGATGGTCAGGGCATCTGGTCCAGCACTTTTTGGACCAGGTGATGGAGCGATTATCACTGAAACAGATTAAACTGAATTTTACCAAACATGTTCGATAACAGTGATTAAAATAATACTTCTAGAAATGTTTACTTACTACAACTGAGTTAATTATGTTTGTGGGGACAAAGCATGTTGGCAGTGAAACTCGTTTCATTCATTTACAGTAAATGAATGCATGGGTTCTTAACATGCTGACAAATCAATTAATTGACAATGAACTTAATTTTTATTGCTAAGTTTACCATATCCAGTCCATATCATGTTATCATGACGTTAATGCTCATTACAAAAAAAATCTCCAAATATCACCTAAGGGACACTTTCACCATTTTCCACACAATACAGTATTGAACTTTTGTGAAATAGAAATCCTAAAGACATGAAGACACTGGTATCTTGAGTGAGTCCATGTTGGATTTGGGATGAAAATACTTACATTCATGTTCTTTATTCTTTGAGTGAATATTTAATATCAATCAGACAAATTTAAAACAAATGAATACTCACTTCTATCAGAGCAGAAGCTGCCTCCATAACCATCTGCACATCCCATAGAACAGTTGCCATGGATACTGTCACAGGATGCATTGCCTCTACAATAACCACATGTCCCACTGCAGTTGTAACCATAGCGACCATACGGACATGCTAGAAACAGAACAGACTGAGTAACAGAAGAGCAATATAAATGATGACAACAACAGCAACAACATCATCAACATTTCAGTTTCCAGAACACCTTCCACCACTTAGATAAAGTATGTTCCTGAGCTTCTTCTTGTTTCTTGCTAAACTAACTCTTTCCCCACTTAATCATCAGGGCAGATGATGAAAGGGTGTTCAATCAAACATGTTATACATCAGCTTGTATGCACTTGGTCTTTCTCTTGCCTGGTGTCATCAAATTTTGTTATGAAAATGCACTGAATCAGCATTAGGCATGATCCCATCCAAAACTTTTCTTATTCTTGTTGGTATTTCTTTCTTAAAATGACTTAATATCTTCAGAAATTGTTCAAACCTGTAGAGGTTATTGATTCTTGGAAGAAAGTCCTCCTTGGGGTATGTATAAGCATTAAAATGTCCATTTTAAAACCTATGACAGTTGTAACTATAATTTTTAATAAAACATTTACAAAACAAAAACACATTTTTTGTCTTGTGAGACCACCCCTAAAGGGCTCCTTAGGGCCCCAAAAGCCAAGAGCAGGTAACTCTAGCCGTCTACCTCTCACCTCACTTTTCATGCTGAACGATGAGACAGAATGAGGGGAAGTGGGTGGCCGTACCCCAAGGAGGACTTCCTTCAAAGAATCAATAACCTCTACAGGTGTGTACGAGTCTTTTTCAGAAGAAGTCCTCCTTGGGGTACATATAAGCAGAAGACAGACTCCCAAAGATATTTGAGTCGGGAGTGGCATTCTGTCTGACATAACGATCCATTGCAAGTAATATTGCAAGTGACATACCCAGTCACCTGACCACCGATGTCAATCAAGGCGGGGGCGTTGCTAGGGCGAGGACCTGGAATGTCTTAGTCTAAATCTGATTGGCTAACACTAACAGTGTCTTGTCACTTCAATAACCCACCCCCCAACCCAGGCTTGGAGGAGTATACTATGGGGAACTCGCCAAAACAACCCACTACCAGTCACACCCAGCTAGCGAAAGTGTGGTGAAGTGAAAAGTAAGAGTAAAGTACAAGACATCGAAATACCAAAGTAGAGCGGGAATAAAAACCATCACCAAATGCCGCCACCGATAAAAGGGAAATGAAACCCGACACCAAGTAAAATACAGTGTATGTAGTCTAGAAAGCTCACTCGGCTAGAGAGGTACTACCCTGTCCACCGTGAAGAACAGTCTGGCCAAACCGAGGACGCTCACGTGATTGTTTGTCTAGTTGATAATGATGGATGAATGTACCCGGGCGGCTCCAAATAGCCGCGGAGCAGATCTCCACAATGGGCAGAACAGCATCGTATGCCTTGGAGGTGGCAACTGCTCTAACTGAAAGAACTTTTAATCCCTGTGGGGGAGTTAAGCCCTTGTGTATGTATCCCATACATATAGCAGAAACAAGCCATCTTGATATGGCTTGTTTGTTAGTCGGATGACCAGCCTTGCTGCCGCCATAGCAGCAAAACAGCTGCTTATCCTTACGATAGATGCTGTAGGCTTTATGTATGCCTTAAGCGTCTTATGTACATCTAGGACGTGAGCACATCAACTAGAGTGTCCCGATGACTGAGGCTGCGTAAAAGCAGGTAGATCGATGGGCGCCGTTATATGAAAGGTGCTTGCGATCTTTGGGCAGTAAGAATCTGGTAAGCGAATGCTAACCCGATCTTTGTGAAAAATGGTAAGTTCCAGATCTGATGACATTGCGTGAATGTCACCAACCCGTCTGCCATATGTCACTGCCACAAGGAAGGCTGCTTTCCAGCTTAACAGCTGGAGAGATAGAGCCGACAGATTGTAAAAGAGAGGACCTGACATCCAATCTAGAATGAGAGATAAGTCCCATGGGGGACTAGTACGCCGGATGGCTGGGCGGATTCTGTCCACGCCTGTTAAGAAACGCTGCACCAGAGGGTGATGCCCTAGGAGAGCCCCGTCGGTAGGAATGTGGAAGGCAAATATTGCCGTGGAGTAGTCTCGGATAGTAGATGCAGCTAAGCCGGTGGGAAAGCCCATAGAACCCTGTCCGTCCAATCTAGCTAGAGGGCATTGGAGGCGATCGCCCTCGAATCCGGGATCCGCGAGCAAAACACAGCGTCTGGTTTGTCACCCCAGAGGCAAACAGATCCACCTGGAACGACCCAAACAACTGGGAGATAATCCCGAATATCTCCTGGTCGAGTAACCACTCATGAGGGGCTAGTATACGTCGTGAGAGCTCGTCTGCACGGACGTTGTCTATCCCTGGGAGATAAACAGGCATAACCCGTATGTCGCACTGATCGCGCCAGAGTAGGAACTGCCACGCCTCCTGAAGGCGTGACGGAGATACCGTACTGCCCTGCTCCAGGATGTAGGACATCACCCTTTGGTTGTCCATTTCTAGACAAACCACTCGGCTCTGAACCTGCCCCAAGAAGTGTTCGAATACCAACCGGACTGCTCTCAATTCTAGCATATTGATGTGCAGGGTCGCCTCATTCTCGAACCAAAGGCCGGAAGCTGTGAGGTCTCCCAGAACATCCCCCCAACCTGTGAGGGAGGCATCCGTCTGAATTATGGGTCTCGTAACTCTCTGAGTGCGACCACATCTGCGCTAACGCTTGCTGAATAGGTTGAATCTTCAGACACGCACGCCATACTATGTCGACCGTCGCCGCCATGTTGCCTAGCAACTGGAGCCATGTCCGAGCTGAGGCACTGGGGGACTGGAGGAATTGTAAAACAATCCTCTGGACTTTGGATATGCGGTCTCCAGACAGGGAGACTATGCCCTGCCCTCGCCCCCAAGGAAACCAGATCCTGTGTCTTGACCAGCTCTGAGATTGAGATTGATAATCACACCCAACTGGTGAGAGTATCAATCACTGACTGTGTGGAGTCCCGACCCAAGTGGGTGGCGAGCGCTGTGAGAAGCCAATCGTGCTGGGGCCGACTTCCCTTTCCTCTGAAAAAGTGGCTGTGAAGGGGGCAGCCTTGCCCTTGCCTTTACCCTTGCCCTTGCTTTTGCGCGCCTGCAGTGCAGCAGGCTTCTTTCCTGAGGTGGAAGGGTAAACATTAGCAAGGACTGGGGGCCGATTGCCAGGAATGGAGGGTACATATATATATACATATATACACACAAGCAAACAGCAAAAAAATACAAGAGTCATCAGAAGATGACATATCCCCCCGGCCCCCACATCTTTGAAAGAAAAAATCATGTGACAGTTACTTAAAGTCCAGCTTGATTTTAGACTACGTGCAAATCGTTTCCATGGAAATCATGAAAAACATAAATGACAAAAATCTGCAAATAGCAAAAGGCATCACTTCAAGATCTGTCTCATATATCTGCCAAGTTCTGTTGAAAGATATTGAACAGTTTTCAAGTTGTGCTCCGGAAAAGAAACCCACCCCTCCTTTTTAAGACTAAGTCCGAATCGTTTCCATGGAAACCAAGAAAATAATAAATCACAAAAATCTGTAAATAGTAAAAGGAACCACTTTAGGTTCTGTTTGATATATCTACCAAGTTTTGCAGAAAAATACTGAACGGTTTCTGAGTTTCTGAGCCCACCCTCCCTTTAAGACTAAGTCCAAAATGTTTCCATGGAAACCGAGAAAAATAAAAAAAAGACAAAATTGGAAATTTTAACATAAATTGTATATTTATATACTTATCCTATCTCACGCGAAGGATACCCGCCCGACCTGCCCCACATCACAGATTACTGGGAGCTCCAAGACGAGAATGACAAGGGCAGGCTGCCAGGTGATCATCGGAGTGATCTGCACGCTTATGAAGATGATTGACAGGTGCTGCTATGGAGTGGGGCAGAGGTCAGGGGTCAGAGGCCAGAAAGTTTGATTCAACTTAGCCTACAGCACGTTTCCACACTTGGTCGTACAAGAACAAGAGAGATGCATAGCGTGAGATAGGATAAGTATATAAATATACAATTTATGTTAAAATTTCCAAATTTTAAAACTTTTCCTATCTCATGCTATGCATTATCCCACGGTTGGAAGGCGGGCCGCAGATTACCCCGTGTGACTCTACAACTGTAAGGTCGCATACCACAAGGAGGCCAGGAGAAAGCACCAACTCCCAATATGCTAACTCCAAACTTGTGACGGGTTGCTTCGGATAACCCCTTGGCTTACTCCGCACAAAAACTCTAGGGAGTGGGCGCTCCCGAATTAATGTGGTTTTCAGCCGCAACTTTTGACAAGCAAAAGGACGCAGTTTAGCAAGTGGACCTCACCTCCCTGCGATTTGTCAGGTGACCCCAGTGAATTAAAGTCGAAGACGTTAATCTGGCCAGTCCCTGCTTCGGACCTACCCCCCACAGACACGCGCTGGAGACGGTGAAAGAGGGAATAGCCCGGTTCTCGACTTGTGTAACGTTCAGTACCGATCTCCCTCCCAAAGGCGAGAGGACTTAGGAGCGGAACGCTTCGAAAACCATGTAGGTAATCGAAAAATCAACACTTCACTGAAGCAATTGCTCGAGGTCAGTAGAGGTCAGTAAGCCTGCATGTGTTGGCCTCCACCTCTGCATGTATGACAGTCGAACACGCCTAGACTGGCCTCTCACAGTCTATTGAGTCATAGCTTATTTTCAGTGCAAGACACGCCCTAGTTGCTTTATAGGTGAGGTGGTCACAGCTGCTGCAGGAAACGAACTGGTGCAGACCTTCCATGTCTATAACTGAGAGATCTCTAACATAGTGTGAGGCGAAGACTGTGTCCGATCTCAAGAAGCATCCCTCCATGATGGCTGTTAGGGAGCAGTTCCAATGAAGAGCGATGGTAGATGCTAAGGCCCGGGCCTCGTGAGGATTCGCAGTCATGGGTGAAGGAAGGTCTACATAAGTGTAGGCACGTAGGATTGTGGATCTCATCCAGAATGCCAAAGTAGTACGAGAGACTTCTGAGGTTGAGGCAGTAGACAACAGGATGAAGAGTCTCTTGCGCAGCCTAC